ACGTTTCTATAATTTTAACTGTGCTTCATACATTGAAATGATAGAAAAAACTAAAGTTTTTACATATAAAAAATACACTTTAATGTATAAAATAATGCAATCATAATGAAATCAGTAAACCATATTCATGGTTATCACTGCAAACTATAAGCATAAATAAGATTGCTACAATCACTCATATCTAACAGAGTACCTGAATGCGCTTCTCCATGGTGATCAAATCGCTGCATTCTTCATTATGTTGGTGACGTACTTGGCATTTCTAGTCATGAAATCAAGCACACAAAACGCTATTTTAATAATATTTTTTCTATATATTAATATAAAATGTTTACCGTTATTTCTATTAAAAGATGTAAAAATAACGCAGACTAATACTTTTCGGTGAACTATTCATATATTTGAAGTTAAGAGCAAAAGACTCCAAAAGAAATATTTAATTACCTGTATCTTCCGACCCATAGTCATTTCTAGATAAAATTCTCTGTACCATAATTGGGATAAATCACAACAGTCTTGTAGAGATTCTGAAAGAAACTAATATATTATTAACAAATTACTTACATAAGAAATGTAAATTGCTTAATTAAATGATACTGACCACTAAAATTTAAGAGATAACTCCAGTAGAAACTAGTTTTATGAAATTGATCAATTTGCACAAGATACTGGCCATCAATATCTTTTCTCAAAGTACGCTTTCCGCCACTTTTATCTGCAATTAATGATTCTAGCATAGTTCGAACCATGTAAAGCTGTGTTGAAGAAGGTCCTAAGAAAATATACCTTTTTAAAAAGTGAAAATCTGTACATTATTATAAAAATTTGTTTTAATCTTACCAACATTTCGGCGTGGTACTTTAATGCCAAATCCATTATCAGGGTCTTTCTTTCCTTTTAATGCAGGATCTCCTAATGGTTCTACTCCAAAATGCCAATCTGCACAAGTTTCTCTTACAGATACAATTATACTGAAATATACAGTAAAAAATTTAGATCACAAGTTATTTGTTTAAAATTATATTCATGCAAAATGAATTTATATGAAAAGTACACTCTTATGAAAAAAATAATATCCAAACCTCCTAATAAGGTCTTTCTTATTTTTTATCGCTTTGCGCAGTGGTTCTCGTAATGTAAGTTGCACAAAATCTTGTAATTCTGCATATATATTTCTACGTATTGCATCAATAAAAACAGTTTCCATACGTGCCATTAATACTTGCAATCCCTTGATCATTGCAATAACTTCTATTAGAGCAAATTTCTCTTCATCTGTGTAATTATAACGTGTAGCCTAATAACATAAAAAAATGTTAGTACAGAGTATTGCTAATAAAAGTAATAAATAGTGTATCTCACTCTTTCATATTCTTCAGCTTCTTGAGGGCATTCTTTATTCATATGATGATCAGTAGGATGTAAAAGTTTCCAACTGTAAAGTTCTGTTACAACACTTGTCCACTGGGAAAGTAACTGCAATCCACGTAACGCTAATTCTGCAGTTTCTCGATTTTCTGAATCAGTGCCACATTCTTTGTATGTTGTAGTTACTTCATTACTGTATCTATGTTATAATGAAAATATCTTTTTTTATAAATTTAAAAATTCAGATTTTTCGTAAACTTATATATTGCAAATATTTATTATTACCTTGCTAATTCACTAATATATTTTACATGATCTTCCCTGATTTGTGGAAGATGTACCATAAGATCTGCTTGTGGACTTATACTATTTGATGAAGAAGACAATGGCCACTTTGATGCATCAAAATGTTTAGAACGTTTAATATAATTAAAAGGTGCAATTTGCATATCACCAAACAACGGTACAACTTCTAAGTTTTTAAAGATTCTATCAATTCTGTCCAATTTTAATTTCTTTTTTTGGTCTAATTTATTGATATTGCAAAGCTCACTATCCATTAGGAATAATCCAAATCCCATGACTTTTACCAACATATGTTTTTCATTTGGGGTCAAATACATTTTAGTCTCGAACATATGAACACATATGTTAACAACATCTGCAAGTAACTCTTCATATCCTGCAATTTTTTCTAAATTTTCTTTTACTGTATCACGAATTTTATTTTGTGTAGCTAAAAACATTGACAAATTTTGAGATTCTTGTAATGTTTGAGAATCAGACATCACTTTAAGAAATTGTGCAGCTCTA